TTTTTCTTAAACAAATTATTATAAAAAATTCTTTAAATTTTGCAACAAAAATAAGTTGAATTATTTATAATTAAAATATAATATACTTAAACATTTTTTTCACTTATAAACTTAACAATTTAATTACTAATAATTATCTTCATTGCTTAACTAGTCCATACATAATTGTATGCACACATGTATCATATATATTAAATATAAATGATACACAATTATGTTAAAAGATATGCATTATTTTAGTTATGATACTAAAGAAATTTATATTATTATTTTACAAACACTTTTTTAAACTGATTCGCAATTACTTGAGTAAATATATATTGATACACAATAAATTGTAATTATGTGTGCATATTGTTTAACATCTGTAATGATTGAATAATCTAAAATAAGACATATTACAGGTATTTCTTTTGTGCCTTTTTTTGGTTAATAATGTAGCTGGTAAAACAAGGTCATCTGAGTTTTTATAATCTTTCTCCCTCTATCTCTCTCTCTTTTTCTCTCACACACACGTGTTTAGCATTTCAAAAATTATAAAATTTAAGAACTTATCCAAGTTATTATTAAGGAAGCACGCACTGTTTACGTAGTACGTCATACTACAGAAATTTCTATATCTTGTGTACATAAATATAGTTAATCATAAAGAATATAAAATCGAAAATTTTTTGATATAGTTTTTTAACTATAGTAAATGCAATTTCTATTTTTACTACCATGTCATTTTTTATTAATTTTTGAAAGGGGGCATTCATACATTTCTTTTGATTGCTAATGACATTATTCTTCTTAGAGAAATATTACACTTTCCATAAATCGTTACTGTACATATAAGGCTGAATTTTCTTTTAAAAATTCCGATTTATATTACATATAAAAATTTAACACAAATCCTTTCCTGACTTGCTCCCATACAATCCACATTATTTTATCTCATTATAATGAGTAAACACTTGTAATTATGCTAATATATATTATATGAAGCTGTCTTCAAGTATATATGTAAACAAAATCTCAACTCTTAATTTTGTAATGATTAAAAAATCTTATATCCTGCTGAATCATCATACTCGTATTTATTTTATAACGAGAATGTTATTCATATATTATTGCAATACTTATTTTACATACTGACAAATCTTGCAGTAAACAATAGTTTTGTATTTAGTAGCACTCAGCTTACAGAGATTTGTGATGTTCATTTTTATTTGGATTGTTCATGAACACATGATTCCACGATACACAATTAATTCACCATTTCGCTTTTGACAACAATATAATCTGAATTACGGAAAACAGATTGAAGTAAATTCTGCATATATTAGAGACTATATTTTACCAAGAAAATAGAAAGTTGTTGTTCAACTGTATTAAATAAATAGATCGTCTCTTCCAAGTCCTGGCTGTCATACTTACAGGTTTTTATATATGCATATTTAATAATTTTATTGTTGTCTAATTAAAATTATTTTATGCGTCTCATTGAAACGCAGAGAAGAATACTGAATTTGCTTGTTGCTGTTGTTGTTGTTGTTGCGTTGGAGATTGAATTATAGGCGACGTATATCCTAATGTTGGTGCTGCTGACACAATTAGTTTGCACAAATAAAATTATTTGAAAAAAAAAAAAAAAAAAAAAAAAAAAAAAAAAAAGAGAGGGCTATTAATATAATACACTCACCTAAAGGTTTAATTTGATGCTGTGGGCTAGTACTAGCAAGTTGATTCATAGTTGGTGCTGGTCCAGATTGTTTTGATTTACTACCCATTATGTTATCAAGATCTATATTCAAACCTGAGCCAGCCCACGTTGAGCCAATTTGCAAGGAAGACATATTATTTGGTGCTGGATTCTTGGCATTAACAGACGAGGGAGTGAGAAGATTTGCAACAGATGACAGTCCAATTGTTCCTAAATGCAACATGTAATACACACATGTTGTTAATTCTCTTTTTAGCATTGACAAGTAATAAATAAAATTATATTTATGTCTGTGCAATGAATATTGCATATATTAATAAATTCTTGAACATGGAAAATGTAATACATACACGATGTTAAGTCATAGAAGAAGTATATTTAGAAACTTATAATACAATGTTTGTTTTATATTTTTGGATATGTTTTAATACAGATCTATACCAAACGAATGAGATGAATCAGTAAATGCTTATACACTATCAGGATTTAATTATTGGTGAATGTTGAGCCAATGACAGAATCAATCAATAATAACACATTTCTACCTAATGTCCTACAGTCTTTATCATGTTCTCCATTAATCATATTTTGTGATATATTTAAAAGCCAAAGCCTTACTTCCAAAAAAGGTTCAAGTAGCTCATTTATTATACTTTCTTTTGGTACTGCAATAACAACTGCTGCAACATTCTCTATCACAGCGAGTCTTACTTTCGCTTCTTCATGATATCTTAAAGTCCATGTTAATTCTAATATTTCCTTCCCCATCTTTGATGCAATTAAACAATTTTGTGCTGCTACCATTATAGTAGATATTGTTTTAAGAAATTTTATTAATAAAGAATTTCTAAGATCAGAGTATGATTCTACTCCAATATACAAACAATTCCTTTGTTTACCATAGCCATACAAAAGAGCAAAAAAGAAAGATGACGCGACGTTTCCAAATTTGTTTGCTACCATCTTTGTAGGTTTTGCATTACGGGCAAATCTTCTTGTATTGGATTCAATTCTTTTGTCAATTATCTCTCTCCAATTGATAGATTCAGCATGCGTATTATCCCAATCATCATCATCATAACATAAAATATCAGATTTTTGGTCAGTATCGATAAAAAGTGATATTCTTTTAGTAGGTATTTTTCTAGTATGTGCAATCTCTTTGCTATTAGACTTATCATCCGATACATCGATTTTAGACAATCGTCTAGCTGATTCTGCTAATATGTCTAAGAAAAGTAAACGCTGACTTGTGGAATATTTACTTGTGTCACTATAAAATTGTTGACATAAAAACACTGCGCATTCTTTGGGATACACTGTAACAATGGCTACACAGGATTTAAAGATTAATATCTCAAAATCTTCTACAAAATAAGATTCATTAAGGGTTACAAGAATTTCCAATAATTCTATACCAAATGATACATCATCATTAGGTAATTGAGATAAAATTAATTCCTCGCATACTTCAAGTGTCTCAGTAAAAATTTCGGCATTCGTTGTTTTTCGTTCATCTATTAAATTGTCACGTAGATCTCGCAAATATGCGGGTCTTAATTTCTCAGATAATTTAGTGTCATTGGATATATCATAAGGAATTAAATCATCATCACTATCCAGTTCCGATTGTTCTTCGACATTTTCATTATTAATGAGCAGTTTATCTTTGATATTTTTATTCAAATTATTTGATGAATTTTGTTCTTGTTCAGTTGTATTATCTTCACTTTCTTTAGAAAGTACCTTGAGTTGTTCTATTTTTTTCAATGATAATATATTACATTCTACACCCAAATAAAAAACTTTTTTGTCACCCAGTGAATTGAAAATGATATCATCAGTATATAAATTTTCTTCACTCTGGCAAGGTTGATTTAAATTTAATGTTTGTATTTTTTCTATTAGCATATCAAATGATTTTATTAATTCTAGAACATCTGCGTCCATACGGTTGTAGTGAAAGTCTAGTTTTGGACTATCACCTGATTCTGATAAAGCATTCACAACAATTTCTCCAGTACGCATACCTATTGCTTTCAGAATAATATGCGTACTTTCCAAATGTGTTGATATTCCTAAAAATATCAGTTTACGGCATTTTTCTTTATCGTCAGTTTTTATATTATTTTTTACTACTGTTATGGCAAGAATAATTAATTTCGTAATATATTTGTGCTGTTCCATAGAAGTATGATTTAATGCACTTTTATCACCCCACACATCTAGAAGTTTAATTAACAAGTCTATCATAATACGATTATCTTTTGAACATTGTAATAAGTATATTGTAAAATTAATAATAAAATTATCACTCTCGTCTTCATAGTAAGACATAAATGGAATCTTGGTTGTTAATGTGTACATCCAATTTGATACTTCTATTAAATTTCCAAAAATCGAATATACACCATTTTTAATATCGCAATATTTTAAAAATAGTACAGCTAATGATTCAATGGCTGTTCGATCTAGTTCTTTGAAAATACTTTGTATAAAGTTTCTTCTATTATCATTTTCATAACACCACGTTGATAAAATATCAATCAAGCAATTCAAGTTTGCAGAGCTTATTGTAATTGCCATTTTGCTAATTATCACCGAAAAAATATTTAAATTTGTTTGAATATCGCAATTTTGCATGCAATCATGAATGAAAGAAAATCCACGAGTTATATGAAAACAAACAACTTTTGTATACATTTCTGGGAGAAAAATATCAAATGTTTTCTTTTTTAATCTGTTAGCAACTCGATTTGGTAAAGAAACTAACAGCTGTATCGTACTTTTCCATGTCTGTTCTAATTCTTCTTGTTTTATTGCCGATTCTTGCTGGTATTTACATGCATTTACTATCGCAGAAAATAAAGCATCGCTTTTTATCAGCTCTTCCAAAATTATAGAAATGATATATATTTTTCTGTCGTCAGTAGACTGCTTTAAGGCTTGAGTTAATACCACGAGTGTTTCATAAAATATTTCTAATGATATACCATCAATGATTATTAATTGTTTAATTAATGGATCTAAATTATTCCCTTGTAACGGGAAATTACGGTCAAATTTATTAATAATTTCCTCTAAAATTCTTCCATGTAACATAGGATCAACAAATGGATCCATATCTAGACCAATGTATTTTTGATAAGTAAGTGGACCAGGTAAAAATATGTTATAATTCGAAATGTGTATCTTTAACTTTTCCAGACTACTTTGGGATTTAATATTGCCCATAGAACATAGCAATTCCAAAAGTCGATTAGCAGCATTTTCTGAGTGCTTCTCTGTTGATGCGATGTTATCTTCTTGTCTGCACGCTGTAAGGAAAGTCTTTCTTGGGGGCATTATATTACTATCAAAAACTTAGTTAAAATTATGGTAAGATGAATTTGTCTAATGAAAATGCATGCATATGCTTTCTGTTGTATAAGAATAATAGAAATTATTATAAATTAGTTATTACTCTAATCTAATATATTATAACTATTGTGTTATCAAGAATAAGCAAATATAAAAATTGTAAAACCTTTTACCTGTTCCAAAATCGCCCGAAACAACAGGTGTAGAGGTATTAAACAAGTTAGAGTTGTTAGTATTATTTTCTCTTCTATCCCCCGATCCAATTGATAAAGAATTGAAGTTCCCAAGATCTGATAATAAATCAGTATTTGAACATACTGAAAAAAAAGATATAAAATAATGTCTTGAGAACAAATTTTAATTTAACTGTTACCTATTAATTATTAAAAGTTGTTTATTACGACAATACTTCAATATAATGATCTACCTGTATTATTGTTTAATATTGCTTCATTATTGGATGTCAGTGATTGCAAAGAATCAAACAAATTGTTATCAACATTATTCTTCTGCGTTTGAACATTACTTGGATTTATAATTTTTAAACCAGTTGGTTGAACATTAGAAATCATAGTGTTATTTAAATTATTCGTCATTGTATTGCTTGTGTTTGGTATTGTGGATCCCATAAAAGATAGCTGATTATTTTGCGATACATGCGACTGAACAGATGAATTATTAGGAGAGGTAGCGCCAGAATTAAAAGCCGATGTGAAATCAGCAAATTCATCGTTTTCTTTCATTTTAACGGTAGGACTACCGAATGCACTAGCAAAATCACCAAAATCAAGATTAGCAATTTGTGAATGATTATTTCCTCTTGGATTGAAATCATCATCGTCGATGGCAGATTTGGTATTATTATCCTTTTGAGAATCAAAGATGTCATTTAAAATGTCATTTTTATTCTTCGGGTGATTACCCATGGAGGAGAATGTATTCTGTAAGAACATAATTAAATATTCATAATTATATTAATCATAATTTGTAGATAAAAGATAAAAAAATACGAACAGATTGGTCTTTTCCATAATTTGCTGCTGCACCTAAGTCTACTTTTTTGATATTGCGTGTTGTTCGTACAGGTGATGCGTTCACAGAGGATGTGGATCCAGAAATAGTTTTTCCAATTCGATCTATACTTTCCATGGTATCCCTGTATTCCCTATTACCTCTTTTTGGACTAGGATGTGTATCATTGTCCGAGTCTTCTCTTTCTCCATCGTCGCTGTTATTCACATATACATATATAAAGAGTATAGGAAATCTTGTTCATAAACACTAGCAAAACTTGATTACCTATTGTTCGCATCTTCAAAACCTTTTCCACGATTGTCTCTATCCCAATCATTATAAGTATCCGTGCTAGATTTGTTCCATTTAGGACTTTCCGTCCACCTATCTCCACCCCCAAATCTCATACCCATTGCTTCGCTCGACAAGCCAACGTATTTATCCTTATTTTTCTTTGCCTTTTTACGTTCTTCCTTTAATTTATCATCATCCTGGATAAAATCGATTAATTCTCGGACTTTATGCCTGATGTTTATTCCTTGATCTTTTCCAAGCTCGTCTATGCAAGTGTAGTTCTCTAGTGATCGTAAATCGTAAATATGTTCTCTAGAGGATGTTACAACTCGTTCGGATCCATTACGTACCAAGTAATTTAAGAGAAGCAACGACTGTAAATGTAAAAAATACGACGTATAAATACGACAAAGTCATTAAATTGTAAATCCTAACGTAATCGATCGAATTTTATTAAAAATATTATATATTATTTACAAAAGTCGTTTCTCTTTTTTATTCTCCATAAAAGAATTTCAAATAATCTTTTGCAAAGGATTATTTACAAATAATAAAATAAACATGCGTGCATACACGCGCACATATACGCGCGTACCTTATACGTACGACGCCAATTTCTTTTATTTTCTTGCAACATCCTTTTCCACAACATGGACATTACATCTGGGAATTGTTCGTATGTGAATGTTGCCTGAGCCAGTTCTTGCATCATTGCACCTGAAGTAATACGATGAATTTAATTTCAGTGTGTCCTTAAAGTAAGAGACCACTCGAACGAATGCGATATATCTTACTTATCGAAAATTTTACACTATCGTTCATAAATCATCAGATATAATATATGTAATAATAAAAGTATATTACTTCATAACTTTTTTATTTTGTTTTCAAAAAATACTAAAGTGTCTCATGATTCATATATGACGGTGTATGTAAAATAATACGAATTTTTAATAAATTAAAAACATGTACAAAACTTTGATACTACTGACATCGAATATGCTGCAATTTGAAATAACAAGAACAAAATGATAATAATAATAACGAATATTATTCCATACCGGTAGGTCCCCACGCATCATCGTTTGTTGCTTCTCGTACTTTGGCTTCTGTTTCAGTATAGTTCATTACCACATTAGTTCTGAAGAAAAAACAAATTTGATTTGTATTTTTTTTCAATTTTTTGGCCCCCCACGAGAAACTCAATCGAATCACGGTGAACGACGAACGTGTTAAAAGAGATGTTAAAAAAGAAATATCAATAGGTTTTTCAAGTTTAATTGTAAACAGTACGCATGTTCTCTCTTTCTTTCTTTCTCTCCCTTTCCTCTCTATCTAGCTCTTGACACAAGCAGCGTGACAGGCCTAGTTGTAGGTACTTATAAGAGTTAAGATCGGGCTCACATAGGCACCTGTTGATTGCGCAATATAAGTATGCGAGTATTTATGTATACTCAAAGCGAATTTTAAAATGAATAGTACCCGCAAGCTCAAATTTTCAATGATAATATTTAGATGCGTCAATTGTCTGTTGTGTTAACTGTAGTAACAGGTACCACCTTAACGCGTTCACGCCGACGTGCATCACACACGACGAAAAATATGAAAATCGGCCCCGACGTGAACATGTTAAGTTAGCTGTCATAAAAAACATTTCGCGGGAAAAAAATGAATTTAGGTCATTTTCTAAATAAATTGCTCATATATATATAAAAGAAAACATATAAATATATGTAAAAGAACGCATAATTGTATTTTACTTCCGATCAAAATGATCGTTACGTTCCATTCGTTTCACTTCGTTTGCCAATGAATCGAAAGTTGTTTTGAGCTCCTTTCATAAAACATTTATTGATAAATATCAAATAGCTTAGGAAACACAAATTATTACGATAAATTACGAAACGAAAGTCTAACACAAATTACACGGTTGAACGATCGCTACGAGTTAAGTTATCGCAATATATATAAAGAGAGAAAAGTCCTTTTAGAAACGAATAGATTTGATCTCTTAACACGTTCACGCCGGCGTGCATCACCGGTGGGTTACACACGACTGTAATATGAATTCGAGCTACCCCTCGCAGCGAAAAATATGAAAATCGGCCCCGGCGTGAACGTATTAATCATAAAAATACCAAAATATTTCCTTTTGTGAATTGTGAAAACGAATACGAACTTAACAACACGATGGTCGGAAGCCTTACGAAACGTTTTATCACGCATTATGCATTACATGACGTATCAGTTACTCTTGACTCAGTTAAAATGATAAACAAAATAAACAGAAAAAAAAGAAAAAGGAAACATTAACCATACAACTCTTGAATATTTGTAGAATCAATTGTCTGACAAGTTAAGGAAATAAATGACCCGTGGGATAATCGAATCTACGAGACGTTGATTCTGACAATTAGCACGTAAAAAAAATAATCTAGAATTGAATGGGCGATACCCACGTCAATTGATGATGATTCTACTACCCACGTAAAAAATGATTAGATGGCATCGATTGGGAAAGAACAACGTAACGTATGGAAAAGATGTAAGATTTTAGTAAAGCATTGAGAACCACTACCTAATTCGGTATGTGTACGTACAGTAGTAGCACGTACAGTAGTAGCACGTGTATACAATTTGAGAAAGGCTGTGACAAGTAAATATATATGTGTAGATATATATATATACATTCGAGAGTTACGTAAAGAAGATACGATAAGAGAAGACCATTGCGTCGCGACGACTATTAATAAGCTCTTTTGTAGTGTTGTATACGTGTATATATGGGTTTTTACGGGATACATTTTGATGGTCATTCGGAAAGAGTGTAAGTTCTTATGAATGAATGAAAATATACGCTTTATCTTATGGTCTAACTACTGCCGGTATACGTATGTACGTATGATACAATAATTTTATAAATAAAAAGCTCTTTAAGTACTAATTGTAAGTCCCCAAATTTATTTATTTATTTTTTTTTTATTATTATCATCTCCACATTCCTCTGTAATTTGTCCAAAATGAATATTCACCCCAAATTCGTTAGGAAAAATTTGTTCATATTGACACTTCCGTTGTATATTTAAAAACTTATTATACCTGTTATCTTTATCAGGTATTGTTAATACGTTTATAACTATTGACTCTACGTATCAGTTACTTGACTCAGTTAAGATGATAACAAAAAATAAACAGAATAATTAATATACACAATGACGTTATGTACAAAGCTATCTATTATATATTGAATCTAATAATCCGAGACTACTTAAAGAGAAAATTAATTGTACGTATGGCCTTGAACTAAAGATAAATAAGAGAAAGCTTTGTCATATAAGTAGATATCGTAATTATAATAAATCGCCGTATAAATACTATCGAAGAAAAATATATTAAGGAAAGATATGTTAGATTTTGCCTCATTTCAGGGTTACACTTTATTATTCTTGTCTAAATCAACAATCTATACAATCTGCCATTGTCAAAGATAAACACATATGTTAGTAAAACTACTAATCATCATTATAATATTGCCGTGTTGATATAATCTCATTAAAAGAAGGGTAAAATTAAAATAAATCAAACTTCTCGATTAAATGTATATTAAACGTTTTTTTTTCATTTTTTTTTTTTTTTTTTTTTTTT